CCACACCCACCTGTGCCCACACCCTCCTGTCCCCACACCCACCTGCTGGCCCACCTGTGCCCACAACCACCTGTGCCCACACCCACCTGTCCCCACACCCACCTGCGCCCACACCCACCTGCGCCCACACCCACCTGCTGGCCCACCTGTGCCCACACCCTCCTGCGCCCACACCCACCTGTCCCCACACCCCCACCTGTCCCCACACCCACCTGTCCCCACACCCACCTGCGCCCACACCCACCTGTGCCCACACCCACAGGTCAGAAACAGCATCCCAAATACTCCCTGCAGCCAGACTCCACAGCTGTGAGCCCCAGTTAGTTTATGAAGCAGAGGCTTCACAGTGAGGCTCACGTGTGCTGACACAGGGGTCCCCCTCCCTCCTGCGGCTATCAGGACCCCCCCCCTCTGAGGGAGGCAGTGACAAACCCCCAGGAGGCAGAGGAGAGACCGAGGCCCAGGGCACCGGGACAAGAGGCAGGACAGGAGCTACTGTCTCACAAACAACTGTCCACAGAGGCCAGGGGCCCAATGCCCAGCCCTGGGCCCACTTGGGAACAGAGAAGAAAGACCCAAGAGCAAGGGCGTGGCTATGGTGGGGCAGGCAGGGGAGGGGCATGCTCCATGACATGACCCCCAAGAGGCAGCTGAGCCCACAGACAGCGGCACGTGGTCCAGGGCCACTCTCATACCCCCTCCTGATGCCAGGCACCCGGGCACTGGCAGGCATCCCCCCACCCTCTGCTCGGAGCCCCCACCTGCCCCAGCCCTGTCTCCTCGGCCCCTGCCCCCATCAGCCTGTGGGTTCACTGTTCCTCTTTTCTTATTCCGTTTTAACAGCCTTCAGGGGGGCAGAGTGGGGGGACGCGCGGCCCTGGAAGGTTCCCATGCTGTGATGAGTGCCACCAAGTGCAAGAACGAGGTCTGCACTCCGCCGTGCCAGGGGGCATCCCCTTTAGACATGGCCTCTTCCGACGCACTGATTCAGGGTCAGGGTCGGGGGAGGGACACTCACGGGAGAGGCAGCCCTGGTCTCCAGGCTGCTGGCTCCACCCTGGGCAGCACCTCAACACGGTCTGGGCCTCCATGGCATATACCTGCCTGTAGCCTGTGTAGTAGATGGTTCTAGAAAAGAAGGGAGAGGGCAACATTTACTGTGCGGGCACAGCGCTGGTGGCATGCCCCGCAGCTTTAGGCTCTCACCCACCCCTCCCCACGATGATTCTCTGACCGGTCCCATTTCAAGCTGAGCAGGTTGAGGCTTGGAGGCGGGTAGAAGGTCTGCATCCTAAAGCAGAGCCGCACCCACATGAAGAGGGACAGCAGGAGCAGGGGACACGTGACTGGCCCGCAGCCAGCCACACTGGCCCCAGCTGGCTTGGCACGGCGGGGTGCTACCCTGCTCCCTCTCCACCCCTGCTGCGGGCCCGGCTCCGGGCTGGCATCAGGACGGGCATAACACCCCACATCTGGCTCTCATCACCAGGCCAGATTTGAGGGCTTGGGGGTCAGACTCCAAGTGTCCAGCTTGGGAACAAGCGTGGCTTTCTGGGGCCCAGTGCTGGGTGGGCAGTGCCAATTCAGACCCCAGGCTCTCAGTCCACCAGGGGACAGCAGGACGGCCCTGGGGCGTCCGTGAGGGCCCCTCCCCGACCCCGAGGAGCGTAGGGCTGAGCTGAGGAGACAGGGTGACCGGGAGAAGTGCGTGGACAGCAGCAGCAGAACTAGAGTGTGACCAGCACACAGGGCTGAGATCAGAGAGGAGCGGGGGGAGTGGGGGAGGGGGGCCTCTCAGGGGAGGGCCTCCTACCTGCACCCCTGGACCCAGGCCAGTTCCTGCTCAGGACGGGAACAGCTCCCGCAAAGGCTGAGCAGAGAGAGCAACAGAACAAGAGGAAGGGGATGCCCCGAGGCCACCCACAGCCTTCAGACACAGCAACCCCGCCCCACCACTGTCTGTAGGAACGGTGGCCAGGAGCCCGGCCAACAGCTATGGGGTCAAGGACCCTTGAGCCCCAGGAGTGGCCCGAGGGCCTGGACCGCCGTTTCCAAGTGACGTGACACCCTTCTGCTCGCTGGGGCTTGGCCCCGGGGAGCCGTGGGAAACCCAGGGACCCCACAAACAAACAAGGCCCCTTCCCGGAAGTGGGAGTTCATGCGCGCACGCTGCACACAGCAGCTCGGGGGGAGCTTTGCAAAACACTACTTTGGCAGGACATGAATCCACTTGCCTGAAGAGAAACCAACCACAGCGGTGGACAGTATTTGACAAAGCAAACAGTGTTTGGGTCCTTCCATCGTAAATATTTATCCCTCTCCCGGGGCTACGTGCTGCTCCTCGCGGTCACCCGGAGAACGGAGACAATCGGCCCATCTGCCACCTCCCCCCACCCTCAGAAGTTAGAGACTCTCTGAGGCACCTGTGGGCCTACTGCCCCCTCAGCCCCCCAAGGGCCGACCCCTCACTCCCCTGCAGCCCACATGGGACAGTTCACAGGGGACACAGCTCATGGAGGAGGGTGGGTGCAACAGCTCACAGGGGACACCTCACGTGGGCTCTGGCCACAGCCAGGAAGCTGGCTCACAGCAGGGCCAGGGGCGACAGGGGGACAGGGGTACCAGGCTGGTGCACACATCTCCACATTCTGCAGGCCCCATGGAGCCTGGGCCACAGGGGAGGAGATCTGGGGGACAGGCCTGGAGGGAGGGGTTCCGTGTGGCCTCCTGGCTCCTCCAAGCATTCCCTCCTCCTCCCTTTGCAGGGACCACTCCCCGCCAAAAGGGCAAGGGGCCTTTGACGTAGCCTGGGGGGCTCCTCAGGCCTGGCACGGCCTGTGCTGGCTGGTGGTTTGTCAGTGAGATGCTCCTGATGCGCTAGGAGAGCTGGCCCCTGGGCTGGCAGATGGGGAGAAGTGGGGCAGGGGCAGGGCCCGCCTCCCAGGGAAGCCAGAGCCTCTGTGCATTCCTGAAGGAGGAAGGGGAGCGTGCCAGCCAGAGGCCACACAGCTTCGACAGCCACTGGAGAAACATCTGGACGAGGCATTCGGGCAACTGCCCATAGCCAGCATGCTGGCCTCTGCTGCGGCATCATGGGAAGGGACACGACACATTAGCAGCCAGGAGCCCCACAGAAGGGAAGTGGGGCTGGGCCCAGAAAGTGCTTGGGGCAGGTCTCAGGAAACCCCATGGGACAGAGAGGTGGTGAGAGAGCTCTCATTCACATGGAGTGGAGGGCTGGGGGCGGGGGGGGGAACAGCCCGTGTAGGGTGGAGTGAATCCCAGCTGCATTGCAAGCCAGGAGACCAGGCAGCCACCGCCTCCAAACAGGCCAGGGACCCAAACTGTTCATGCTGAACCCAAAGGGAGGGTCCCAGACACCTGGAGCTGGGCAAGGCGAGGATGCCCAGAACCCGTTTTGCATGCGGCCCCTCCTGAGCCTTCCCAAAAGACCCTGACAGAGAATGCACACTCCCTCCCCTCTGCACTAGGGCAGGAAGCATGGCAGAAACCCTGCGGCCCCCACCCCACATAACGGGGCAGCCAGGTCCTCCCAGACAGGGGGGCTTCACTCCCAGGGCCCCAGACGCCCCATCAGGACACTGAAGGCACCCAGATGCTTTGGAAAGGCTGCTCCCACCCCACCCAGGCCAGCCTGGGGGCCAGTGACGGGGACCCCGGGGGCCAGCGACGGGGAGCCCGGGACCAGCAACAGGGAGCCCGGGACCAGCGACAGGGAGACTGGGTGCTTCTCGGCACAGCCACCCACCCCACTCTCCAGCCCGGGGGCCACAGGGCTCCTGGCGGCTTCACCGTGAGTGGCTGGGGGGACGCGGCCCAAGCTGTGGACACTGCTCAGAGTGCCTCTCTGGGGGAAGCGCGAGGAGAGCTGTCTCCCTTCCCTGGGTTTCGCAGCATCAGGCCCCTGACGCTCATGCAGGACCCTTCATACTTGCAGGGCCGTCCTGAGCACCAGAGGTTCACTGGGGGGCAACGGACACCAGACCCAGACACCACCAAGATCCCAGGGAGGGAGTTCACGCCCCACATGGAGGACACCACACAGGCCACCCCCAAAGGCCTCGCTGCGAAGCTGGACACCATGCCCCATCTGAGGCCCATTCCGGCCTTCCCCGCACCTAACCTGGAGGCCTTGCTGCTTCCGGCCAGGGGAGTTGCCCGAGCTGGGGCCCCTCCACTGCCCAGCTTTGCAATCGTACAGATTCCAGAGCCTGAGTCTATAAAAAGTGGAGGGGTATGCAAAGGCACTCCTTAATTTGACTTTGAAATAAAATCTTGAGCAATAAAATGTTTCGCACTGGCTCTTCTGGAAATGAGGCCCAGGGGTTTGGCTGCAGCAGTCCCGCAGAACTTAGCAGGATGGGCACCTGCTTTTCCCCTCTCATGTGGGCCAACCTCCCCCCAGGGGTCCCCGCCTGCCCCACGGGATCCCTGTCCCCCTCAGAGTACCCCTCCCAGAGTCCCCTCCTCCCTGCAGGGCCCCCACTGCATGGAGAAGGCCCCGAGATCAGGACAGCCCCCCACCCCAGCCACCCCGCTCCCACACGGGACCCAGGGACCCTGGCACATACCTCCGCTCGTGGCCGACGCACCATGCCTGCCGCCCACAGCCCGGCTTCCACACGGGCACGGTTCGGCTGAAAGCCTGCACACAGGGCTGGCGGCGGCCCACCAAGGTCAGCTCCTGTTCGGCACACACGTGGGGCCTGGGACAGAGGACAGATGTCAGCGCCCCAGCCACCAGTAGCCAGCAGGCCCCAGGCCGCCTGCACACCCACCCTGGGGGGTGGAGCCATCCGGGGTGGGGTCCAGACCATGGCCAGGCCCCACAGCAGGGTCCCCAGGCCGGGGCCCCTCCCAGGCCCGCAGCAGGCCCACGCTCAAGGGTCATATCTGAGCACCCTCCATGCAGGGGCCCCAAGCTGCCCACAGGGTTACTCTAATCCTGCCCAAACCCCAAAGTATAGATACCGGTGCCGCCTTGCACAGGGCACCGGGGGGTCCGCAGGAACAGTGACGCCAACCCCGCGTTCGTGTGACTCCCATCCCAGGCCCCCTCTTCCGCAGCCAGGCCGGCCCCAGAGATGGCCCTGAGCCGCGAGTGCTGGGCGCCCGGCCGGGTGGGATTCCCTCCGGCCAGGACAAGCAGAGCAAGCAGGTGTGGGAGCAGGGGAGCCTCCAGGGAAGGCGGAGCGGGGGGGGGGGGGGGGGCGCAGCTGGGGCCCTGCGATTTCAGTGGCTCCTCGGCCCCCAGGAGCCCCCACAGGCGAACGAATGGACAGGAGCACGCCACACTCAGGAAGGAGAAGGTGGCTGAGAAGGCAGAAGGGGCCCAGCCCCGCTCCAGAAGGGGAGGTGAGGGGAGGGGCGCAGCTCGCCCCAGACACGCCGGGATTCAGGGACCAGGGTGGTCCCCACACAGGCAAGTTTCACAAAGTCTGGGAGAGAAGGCAAAGCTTCGCAAGTCTGTGAGACCAGCCAGAGCTCTCTGCAGAAGAGGATGGGGTGGGCTGGGTTCTCCTCGGAAGACCCCTCTGCTTTCCGGGCCCTCTTCAAACCACAGCCACCGTGAGGGTCCTGAGGGCCCCACAGCAGCCCTGCGGGCTCATTCCCGAGGGTCACTGGCCCGTGCCCTGCCCCCACCCCGGGGCACCTGCGTCACTCCTCCCCAAGGCCTGCAGGGCCACCTGGCTCCCCCCTCTCTCCACAGCCCTGAGAACAGCCTCAGTCTCGCTGGTTCTCCGTTGGCCCCACAGGGCCGGGGGTGAGCGCCGGAACGCTCTCCTCTGGGGAGTTCGCGGTCCTTCACAAGCATAACCTCCGCCAGCTTTTCCATTTGTGGGGTGGAGGAGGTGGGATGGGGGAGGGAAAGGACAGAGACTGAAGTGTCGCCCAAGTCGGCTCCTGCTTCCCATCTGGGGAGGGAAGGCGATTCCCAGACTACAAAGTGAACACAGCTCTGTCGGACATCTGCTCCCTGGCAGAGAGGGGCTCCTGGAGGCTGGTGGCCTTTGCCCAGGGCCGAGGTGAAGGTGGGTCTGAGAAGCGTCCCTCCAGGGTAGGCGCCTCCAGGCCCTGATGGCCCCCGGACGATGGCCCCAGGGTGAGGAGCTGAGGATGGGGACACCAGGGCAGGGAGGGGGCTGGGGAAGCCAGGCCACACACATCCCCTGGTCCAGAAGGAGGCCTAGGCGACGAAGAGTCGTCTCCATCACGTCTGTTCTTACAGGCTCCCCGTTTGAACCCCACAGCGGGCCTCTGAACACACGTTCCCCTGGCCTGGGTGCAGCATGGAGCTTGGGACCCCGCAGCCTCGGACAGCGGCCAGGTGGAGCTCCAGTGTGTGGGGGACACCGTCTCCCTGTCCCGACCCTGCTTCCCCAGCCCAGCCAGTAGCCTTGGGCCAGCCCTGCGTGGAGTAAGCAGTCACTCCAGGCCCCAGGAAGGAAAGCCAACCATTCTTCCATAGAAATTCACTTCAGAGACACAAATAAATACATAAAGACAGGTCGCAGGGTTTTGAATCTGGACATGGTCGGCCAGTGGGAGCCAAAGAACCAGCCACAGGCTCCCAAGGGTCCACAAAGGCCCCCTGAGCACCAGGGCTGTGAGTCAGTGGGAGCCCCCTAACCACGGCACCCCTCTTCTCTTTGCCTCCCCCAGAGGCCCACCAAGGGGTTCAGGAAAGCTAGCCACAGAGGGTGGGGATGCCTGTGCCAGGCCCTGCAGGCTCATCACATCTCCCCCAAGGCAAGGGTGGCAGGGGGCACAGGACCAGCACGGACAAAGCACTTTCTGGAACCCTTGCTGTTCTCCGGGCCCCGTCCCCTGCTCCTCTGGGGTGCAAGGAGCAAATTCTGGCACCTCCAGGACCCAGCAGCTTCCCCCTCTCTGGGGTCTCACAGAAGGGTGCTCTCCCTCACGCACTCAGCCGGCCAGCAGTGCCCACTGTGGCTCCACTGCATGCTGGGGCCTGCACCAGCTGCTTCAGAGACAACCAGAGACAGCGGAGCCGAGGAAGATGCACCCCGAGGTGTCACAGAGCTCAACATGCCTGGGGCAACCTGAGAACAGACGCCCCACCAAGAAACAGGGACACAGGTCCCCAGAGGGGCAGCCACCCCTGCCACGTGGGAGGCTCCCTGAGGGGGGAAAGGAGGAAGAGAGAGGGAGAGGAGGCTTTGGGGAGAGCATGAAGCAGGAAGAGAAGGAGGTCTCAGGCAATCCACTAGCCGCTGGTTTGAAACGCTCACCCCAGCCGGGCCAGAGGCTTCCTGGAGCCCCAGGTGAGCAGGCCAACCTCAGGACACAGGCCTTTAGCTCCACTCCTCGAGAACTCAGGAAAAGGGGCCGAGGAGGGGTGACAAGCAGTCTCCACAAGCACACTGGGACAGAAGCCCCGTCTTAAGGAGAAGCCCTCTGTCCTCATGGGCTCAGCAGCTGTCCACCTGACCAGCACCCTGGAATTCCCAGGAGTCTGGGCCTTTGGAAGTCCCTGGCTAACCCTGCAAAGAGCAGGCAGGCTGAGTGGCCAGACCGCCACTGTGAGAATCCTAACGAGGCTGCAGCTTCCCTTGGACAAACAAACTCACTGGGATCGCAGGAAAGAAAAATGTCCAGCAGAAGTCACGCGGAGAAGTCGGAACTCAGGCCACTCACATTTCTGGATGCAGAGGCCCCCTTCTCCTTTGAAAAGGCCACAAGAAAACCTTCCCCCTTGGGGCAAAGCAAGACCCAGGGTGGGGGTCCTGGGGCCTGGACTGGCCCTCCCCCAGCTCCGCCTGAAAGTGACCATCCTGCACAGCCAGGTGCTGGGCAGGGGTCCCTAACCCAGGCCGGGCCACTTGCCTGGCCCGCTGAAGCCTTCAGCAGCCTGTCCGCATTGGGCAGGCCCCAGGCCCAGCACCCTGCAGGAGCCCTGGGGTGGGGGCTGCCAGCAGGAGTCTCCCCTCCTCCTCCTCCCCTTCCCTGGCTCACTTTGGCACCAGCTTTCGTCAGAGGCCAGTGCAAGGATTGATCTGCTGTTGAAGAGAGACCGCTAAACGGCCCATTGGGGAATCATCTTTCAAAACTGAAATTCATCTCAGCTGGCTCCCTGACCCTCTCTTCCTGCCCATTCTGGTACTGAATTTCTTCTCCTGTCTCTCAGCCCCAGCACGCACGTGTTTAACACATACACCACGTCCAGGGGCCCCCTGTCTGGGCGCACCCCGCCCCTGCACCGGCCCCCCAGGCCCCCGGAGGCAGGCTTTGGAAGGAAGTGAGAAGGGGCTGCTTCCTTCCTGCTTTCTCTGCCCGCAAGGACCCCGACTGGAGTGCGGCGTCTGCCAGAGCGCGGACGCACGTTACAGAGTGGAGGGAGACGGCCGGGGTTAGGGAAGGAGGAGGTGGCCCTGCTACCGAAGCGCCCCCAGACCCAAGCCCCGACGCTCCCCAGTTACGGCAAAGAGCCCAACCTTGTCAGGGCCCCAGGGACAAAGCTGCCCAGGGGCCCCGGGCTCCCGCCGTCCAGCGGAGCCCCCCACCCCACCCCGCTACTCACAGGCCGAGCTGCAGGCGGAGCAGGGCGCTCGCTGGCCCTGCGGGAAGCAGCAGCACCAGGGCCAGGGCCACCGCGCACCCCGCCGCCCTCGCCTCCGGAAAGACGGGCATCGTGCCCGCGGCCCCGCGCCGGGTCCCCGCTCCGGTCCCCTGCTCACAGGAGGCCCCGGGGGGCCCTCGGAGCCGCCGCCTCCACGTGCGCCATGGCCCGGGGACGCGCAGGGCGCAGCCGCAGGTGCCCGCGCCGGGCCCGCCGAGCCCCGGGGCGCCGCAGGTGCGGAAGGTCCGGCTTCCCGCCTGGCCGGCGTCCGCGTCGCGCGACACTGAGCGCCCAGCCCCGTCGCCAGAGGCCGGCCCGCGTTTGCCACGCCCCCGGCCCGGACCCCCGGCCGGGCCCCGCCCACCGCCTTGGCCCCGCCCAGGCCGCCGCTTCCAGCCCCGCCCCCTGCCTTCCGCGGGTCCTCGCCCCCAGCCTTCGCGCTCCCGCCCCTCTCAGGCTGCAAGTCCCAGATCCCCTGCGACCAAGTGACCAACTCCGACGGACCTCGGACCCATGCGCCCGTCTTTAGGGGCAGCCCTCGGCCCTCCATCCCGTCCATTGTCACCCCGGTGCCCTATCCCCTCCCTTGCTGGGCAGAGGGTGGAGGGGGTGGGGGGGGGTAGCCTCTGCAGCCCTCCGTGTGCCTCTGGACACTCCCCTTTGGGCATCCCCGTGGACACTCCCCTTTGGGCATCCCCGTGGTTGGTCACCGATCACGCCCTGGACATTTTTACACTTATTCTGTGCAGGGTATTCTTGGCCAATGGCCTGAAGTCAGGGGGTGCCTGCTTCCCAGAGGCCATCGAGGGCAGGAGTCTCCCTCTGGAGGATTTATTTCCCTCTGTTTAAACCTGGTTTGGGGCACCTGGCGGGCTCAATCAGTAGAGCATGCAACTTTTGATCTCTGGGTCTTGAGTTCAAGCCCCATGTTGGACATACATTACTTTAAAAACCAACCAACCAACGAACCAACCAACCTGGTTTTGGTTTGGAATTCACTAACTCCAGGGTTGAGGACCAGGGGCTTCAGGGCCCAGGGGGTCAGGGGGTCCCTGGGGTGGAAACAGGAGGTTTTTGAAGAGCAGGGGAAGGTGCAGCCTGGGTAGAACCAGGAGTTAGGCACCCCGTTAGTCACACATTGTGAGGAGGGAGAGCCCCTGCCAGGCCCAGCTGCAGAGGCTCACCGGTGGTGAGGCTCACTTCCGAAGCTGGCAAGCCCTCTTTCTTTGTGCTTTCTTGGTCCACCACTTCATGTGATCCAAGTGACTGGCCCTCACCTTGCCCTCATACAAAAGCACAGGAACCCTGGCTGGGGGGGAAGGGGACTTGGGAGGAGGGACCAGCGGCTGTCCAGCCCTCCCCCACGCCCCACTCCCCACCCCCAACAACTCTCTGACCCCTCCTCACCACCTGGAGGTTTATAGTCATCTGGGGACCGGGGCTGCCAGGCCAGCCCTGCTGCCTCCCTGCCGTGCAGATGGGGAAACTGATGTCAGAGTGGGGAGCAGCACCCCAAGTCACCCAGGCTGTAAAGTGCAGATCTGAGAACTGAACACAGGGGTCTGGCTCTGGGAACCTTAGGTAAATCCCCTACTGTGCTGCCTGGAAATCTGAGAAAACCACTAAGCACATAGAGTGGATGGAGGGGCAGCAAATCTGTTCTGAACAGAATACCACAGACCCAGCAGGCCAAACACAGACACTTCCTCCCAGTTCCCTGGAAGTCCAAGAGCAAGGTGCCTGCCACAGGGTCCAGGTGAGGACCCTCTTCCTGGCTTGCAGAAGGGTGCCTTCTCTCTGTCCTCACCTGGCGGAGAGGGGCGTGGCAGGGGGAGAACGCTCCATTGTCTCTTCCTCTTCTTAGAAGGCACCAGCCCTAGAGGATCAGGGCCTCACCCTTACGACTTCATTGACCTTGATTATCTCCCGAAAGGCCCTGATTCAAATACAGCCACGTTGGGAATTAGGGCTTCAACGTGTGCATTTGGAAGGGACACAGTTCAGTACAAAGCAGGGTGAGTCCACTGTCTTCCGAATCCCCCACACTAGCACCTGTCCCCTCTGTCCAGCCTGGAGGCAGAGGGCCACTCAACACTAGGAGGGGACACGGTGAATCAGCACCACTGTGGTTGGAGCCGGAGATGGGGGCGATCCTAGATGGCAACTGACAGCCTATGCCAACTATCTTGCCCGTTCAATGGGCAGGCTTCAGGCAGCTGGTTCTGAAGTTCATTCCTAAACCTCCTTATTTGCCCCAGAAGAGAAACTAAAACCAAAGAAGCTAAAACCAGCAGGGTGGGCAGGATGGGACTCTGGAGCAGGCACTTGGGTCAGGGCCCCTCTGCTGACGAGCTATAGACCCCTGGACGGGTCTTGTGTCCTGTGTGTGGCCCTGGATATGGTCTTTCTCTTCCTCAGTCCTCATGTGTGAACCAGAAACAGCAGAGTGGTGCCCCTCCGAAGTTGGTTCCCACTCGGTCTTGACTCCTACTGCTGTTTGGTGAACAGACTCGTGTGGTCCCGAAATGGCTCCAGCGTGGTTGAGATTACCTGCCACAGCAAGAGCAAAAAACTACCTATTCACACAAAGGAACAGGGATTGGGGTGCAGCGGTATTGTGGGCTGAATTGTGTCTCCAAAAGGATATACCCATGTTCTAACCCCCAGTACCTGCAGATGTGACTGGATCTGGAAAAAGGATCTTTGTGGATGTAATTAAGTTAAAGATATCGGGATGACATCTGGACCCAATGACAGGTGTCCTTATGGAGAATAGAGGGAGATTTGGGACTACAAGTGAAGGTCGCAGCAACCCTTGGGAGCGAGGAAGGAGAGAAGCCTGGACAGACGTCCCTTGATGCCCCCAGAGGGAAGCAGCCCCACCCACACCTGGATTTCAGATTTCTGGGTTCCAGAACCGGAGAAGAAAGGTCTGTTGTTTTAGCTACCCCATCTGTGGACTTTTTCCGGCAGCCACAGGAAGCCAGCCCAAGCTGTGGCGAGACAGCCCAGGCCTGCCCGTGGGGCCTCTGGCCTAGAAGGGAGCTGGCCATCCATGGGGCATGCCAGAGGACCCCTCCCGCCAGGCATCTCAGCAGCTCTTGGGCACTGAGAGAGCAGAGGCTCCTCTGGAAGGCAAGACTGGGAGATGCGGAACCTTGGTGCTGGACGTGCTCTCTGCGGGGCAGCCCTTGCGTTTCTCAGGAACAAGGGAGGATGTGTCCCCCTTGCCCTGCACCTGCTGTGCTGACCAGAACCAGAACTGACACTCCAGTCCTTGCTGGTGTGCGTTCCAAGAGCTCCCGGCCCCCAACTCCAGTCCTCCTGGCTCCAGCTCACCCAAAGGCAGCCTGTCAAAGCCAGACCTTCTCACGGGTCCTGCCATCTTGCTGTGGCGGCAACTCCTGCAGGTGTGGAGACAGCCCTCCGGGCACCTGGGCCCAGGAAAGGGGGCGTCTTGGTGGAGGCAGAGCAAAACCATCGTCTGGTCGAGAGTGGATGTGACAGACGTTGCCATCAAAACAACTCAGCTTTTAGAAACCGCAAGAGACCTGTCCCTTCTAGTTCCCCAAATCTGCTGATATGCCTTAAAGTCAAGTTTGGAAACCTGCCCCCTTGGTCCCCAAGGCCATAGCCCCCCATCTGCTGGGAAGGGTGTTTGTCGACATTGTCCCTGCTTCTGCTGTACCTGCCAAAGCCAAAGATGAAGGGCAGTCTGCAGTGCACCACCTGACGGCTCTTTCACGGGTCCCTGGGGGCCACGACAGCCTCCAAGCACTAGCCAGCCTTGGAGGCAGCCCCAGTCCCTCCCAGGAAGGAGAGGTCTCACCCAGATTGCACTGTCTCTGGAAAATGAGCTCGGCCCATGGACCCTGCAAACGGGAACATTCTCTGGGCTACACATTAACCTCCAACACGGGGGGGCTAGTGTGCCCAGAGCTCTGAGATCCCACCCGTGGGGCTCCTGTTTGCACCAGCCCGGCCCCTCGTGCCCCTGAACGCTGCTTCCATTCAGAGACAGACATCAAAGGTGGGGCCCACTGAGTTCATAAAACACTAAACCACAACATCTGGAAGTTAAGATAAGAATCCTCACTTCCCAGTCCTCCTGGAAAGAGAAGAAGGGTTAGGTTCTCATCTCCCGCTGTGCGAGGCGCTCTGGTTTGAACGCCCCGAGCGTGCGGGCTACTCTGCCACCTGCTGTCCAAATTCCCTGGGAAGAAGTATTGCAAACCCAGGGGTGCCAGCCAGGAGCCACCGTCCCCTGCCCCATGACCAGCGTACGCACGTCCGTGGCGAGCAGCAGTTTCCGATGGAGCCCTGTCGTTGTTCGCATGCAGATGGCTCATCTGCTACAGCGGTCGTGTCCCCCAAACAGGTACGTTCAAGTCCTAACCCGGGGCCCATGAAAGGGGCCTCGTCTGGAGATGGGGTCTGTGCAGGTGCAGCAGGTTAGGATGAGGGCATTGGGTGGGTTCTCGCCCAACGTGACTGGTGTCCTTAAAGAGGAGACACAGGGAGACACACGGGGGAGGCGGCCCTGGGACCACAGAGGCAAAGGTTGTGGGGATGCGGCCCCAGGCCCAGGGAGGCCAAGGGCTGCTAGCAACCACTGGATGCTAGGAAGGTTTCCCCTACAGGCTTCAGAGGGGACAGCGCCCTGCAGGCCCCTTGGTGCTGGGCCTCTGGCCTGCAGAGCTGAGGATGAGTCCTGCTGTGTTAGCCGCCGGGGTGTGGGACGTTGGTGTGGCAGCCCGGGACTTGTGCACCAACCACGGCTGTTCGTTACCTGTCACCTGCTCCTTCCTCTCCGTCGTCTCCTGAACCAGGGGCCACAGCACCCCCCCACACACACACACAAGGCTCAGGCCCCCGGGCCAGGCTCCTCTCCTCATGCCCACCCACCTAACGGGTCCTGGGGCCCCCATGTGCCCAGTCTTTTATCCCAGCCCCGCAGCAACCAGTCCCAAGACCGAGACTCGGGCTGGCCACCAGGCAGGGTGTTCTCTCTGTGGCCCCTCGATTCCAGCACCCCACTTGTGGCTCACGGTGCCCAGAGTCCCTACATGGACTCGCTCCAACCGGGCCCCTGCGTGTCAGCCCTCCAGCCGCTGGGTCACTAGGGGCGCCCGTACACGGAGGGCAGGGAGCGACGGAGGAGAGGGGCAGACGCTGGGGGTGGCGGGTTGCAGGTGAGACAAGCAAGGAGCTTCTTTCCGAGGTGGTCTTGGGCGCTGCCGGTTGAGGGGATCCCCACACCTGCCCACCGGCATCTTAAAGTTTACAGAGGCCTCCGCAGGCCTGTCACCGGTATCGTCCTGACGGTCTCAACACCTCACTACCTCACGCTGCGGCCCTGCGAGCGGCTCCCGCTCTCATGGGAACGGGGCACAGAGCGCACGTCCCAACGACCGGGCGGGGTGAGGGGCCGGCTCCGGGTCAGCGGCATCACAGCACCCCGCCCCTGGTGACCTGTGACCGGCTCCCACCATCTCACCCGCCCTATTGCACGGTGGGCCCCCGGTGGCCAGCAAGGGGCGCCACGAGCATGGACGTGCCTCGTTCAGTGGCTTTCCGGCTGCATTGGAGGCAGAGGCCACTGGGACAGAGGGGCACATGCAAGAGAACACACAGATTCAGACAATAACCCCCAAAATAAGTAACAACCTATTTCCAGCAAGAGCGCCGTGATCCGAACCATGCATTTAGTAAGTGCCCCAGGCCGGAGGTCAGAGCACTCAGGGCCTTCCCCTGTGTCCTCAGTGTGACTTAATGAAGAGGACACATCACCAGACTCATCGGGTATGAAGACACAACCTCTGTTTGGATGCTGGCGTGGGCGCCCCCCTGAGAGGTAGCAGTGAGGTTCAAGGCCTTCCACCCGGGACGACGGTTTGCTCCCCGGGGCGCTGCAGTGGCCAGTGAGGACGGGCTCTGCTGGTCTCACTTGCCACTTGCTGGGTGAGGTTAGTCAAGGCCGGTCCATGTGCTGTAGCGTCCTCCGGGCCCATGGCGGGGGCAGAGACGGCGGCCGAATGATCGTCCTGTGGGCAACGGAGTGTGCCCGCCTGGCCTCGCGGAGAGGGAGCCTCGGCTTCAGGGACCGGACCCGGTTGTGCCCACCCCACAGCTGGTGGGACATTGGCACGGTCAGGCGTGAGGGGCTGGACCGTTCCAGCCACAGTGCGTTTCCTCGGCTCCGGCGTGTGGCCAAGTAATGGGATCCCAGGGAGAGTGAGTGGTGCCTCACCCCTCCCAGCGGGACAGCCGGGCGCAAACCCGGGCAGCCGGTTCCCCTCCCAGGTGTGATGGGCTTGCTGTTCTCAGCAGCACAGCCCGTTGATCCGGGGTGAGAGTCGGGGTGATGGCAGTTTCCTGCCACTCCCAAACCTTTAAGGTCCGTGGGTCGGTGTTGGGTGCCTCTGCAGGGGTCTCCAATCTGGTCCAGGAGGCAACGGGCCCAACCATGTGATCACTGAAATGTATGAAAACCTGGATAGTGAACCCAGCAGGGTGATGCTACTTGTCAGTAGCTTAATCTTTGGCTTTGTTCTTCCATTTTTCCTCTCCACCACCCCTGCTTTTAACAGGCTACAGGGGAGGTGGCGCCTCCACATCATGGCCTGTGAGATGTGAGCCCCCGTCACCGTCTGGGTGACAAATGTATCCATACATGGTACTCAGCTTCTCTGATGGTGGCAGCCTGGCTTGCGTGGGGACGGGACAGCGTGGGTCGGGCCAGATGCAGTGTCTGCACACACCAGGGCATACTTGGAACCCTCGCTCAGAGGGGAGGGCCGACACAACCCATGTGCCAATCCCTTGTGAGTTGGGAACTCTGAGGGATGGCCCCAGACTCCTTTGGCATTGCCTTGAGTATGGTCACGAACACAGGACAGGCTGTCCCTGTGCTGACCAGATCACTGTACTTCAAGGGCAACCCAGAATCCTTGGCGCCATGCCACCCGCCTTGGGAGGTGCAGCGGCCCCTCTCTCTACGCCCCAGTCTGCTTTAGCTGGGTTCATCCCCTTGCTGGGGCCTCATCTTATTCGTGATCATCACCCCTTGGCTTCCCATTGTCCCAGCCATAGGGTCCATCCCTTTAGAACAGCCCATCAGCACAAAGGTGACGGCCAGGGCCTGTGGGGGATCGCCCGCAAGAGCGCCAGCTGCTCTGGTTTGTCCCTGTTTCCATCGGGATGGTGTCAGTGTTGGGCTGAGCAGTAACGACAGCCCGTATGGACGGACTGCAAATAGGCGGGCCACACGGGTAGCGTGGGGATCTGAGCCACGGCGGAGGTGGCTCGCTGGAAGATGTTCTCACCCCACCCCACCCCCCAACAGGCAGGTGAGCCCTCGCCACGCCAGGCTGTTCCTTAGCGAGAGGCTCCACCCGGAGGAGTGCGGTGTGCACTGCTTGGAGCTGGTGCTCTCTGGGGTATGTCTGATTCCTGCCCCTTCCAGCGCGGGCACCAGAATCCTAGGGACACTCCTGGGTTGTCTCCGCCACAGTGCCCAAGCCATACCTGCTGGAGTCCCGGACAACCTAACCAACGGCAGCCCGGCTGGCAAGATGCCTGGAACTGTAACTTGCTTCACTAGTGTTTTTCTCCAAGGCTGCTTGCTGCTCGGCCCTCACACACGTGCCCCTTCTTTACCAGGGACAGAAGCACAGTGCCAGGTGGGGAATAAAAGTCCTCCCAGGCCCCCAAACCCCCACAAAGCCTTGCACCTCTTTCCTGTTCTTAGGGGATGAATAGGCTGGCATCTTACCCATCACAGATTCTGGGGAAATGTGCATCTCACCCGACCAGACAACTCTCCGAAACTCTAGGGGGGTGCCTGGGCCTTGAATGTTTGTGGGTTCGTGGTCCATCCCACCCCCTCGCTGACACTCTGGCCAGGCCCGCAGAGCGCCCTGCAGCAGGGGGTGGTGGGGGGTCTTCACGTGTGAACGTTGTGGGTCATCGTAAATGAAATGGGCCCATTTTAGGAATTTGGGGAAGGAGAATAGGGTCAGATCAGCTAGGGTGGGGCTTTCAGGGAGCCTGGGGGAAGCACCTGAGCTCCGTGGTTGCCCCTCTCACGTGAAAGCACATGGGGGGTAGTTTTCAGAAGCCCATCCTCACCCGAGTCTTCTCCATGAGTCTCCGTGGAGATGAAGTGCGTTTGCAGAAACTCTTGCAAAGCATCAGAGTAAAGCGATGACTGTGTACAGATGAGATAAACACGGAAAAACAGCCGTGGCCAGAGATTGGCTGAGAACTGGCTATGATGCACTGACAAGGAAAGCCGGGTGTGCCTGGGACCTACATCTTAAAGTCCCAACTGCTGCCATTATACCAGGACACGCCAGATTCTTGGGGATTTTATATAAATGTGCCGTGAGACAAGTTTAGTGTCTTCTTGCTTGACCATGCTTCCCATGGGAGTCAACATGTCCGTGAGCCGCATTAGTGTAAACTCTCTCTGCTAAAAGGAGAGAGAACACATCTTTTTTTTGTTTTTAAGATTTTATTTCTTTATTTGACAGAGAGAGACACAGTGAGAGAGGGAACACAAGCAGGGGGAGTGGGAGAGGGAGAAGCAGGCTTCCCGCAGAGCAGGGAGCCCGACGCAGGGCTCGATCCCAGCATCCTGGGATCATGACCTGAGCCGAAGGCAGACGCTTAACGACTGAGCCTCCCAGGCATCCCAAGAGAACCCATCTTTTGAGATGGTCCAGGGACCTCCGAAAAATCCCAAAGTTAGTTTAAGGTTAACAAGACTTCCTTTAGAATTTGACTTTTGGGATCCAACCAAGGTACCTGGGAAACAATACCTAGCTCTCCATTTAATCAAAATGACCTGGGCCTTGAATGTTTGTGGGTTCGTGGTCCATCCCACCCCCTCGCTGACACTCTGGCCAGGCCCGCAGAGCGCCCTGCAGCAGGGGGTGGTGGGGGGTCTTCACGTGTGAACGTTGTGGGTCATCGTAAATGAAATGGGCCCATTTTAGGAATTTGGGGAAGGAGAATAGGGTCAGATCAGCTAGGGTGGGGCTTTCAGGGAGCCTGGGGGAAGCACCTGAGCTCCGTGGTTGCCCCTCTCACATGAAAGCACATGGGGGGTAGTTTTCAGAAGCCCATCCTCACCCGAGTCTTCTCCATGAGTCTCCGTGGAGATGAAGTGCGTTTGCAGAAACTCTTGCAAAGCATCAGAGTAAAGCGATGACTGTGTACAGATGAGATAAACACGGAAAAACAGCCGTGGCCAGAGATTGGCTGAGAACTGGCTATGATGCACTGACAAGGAAAGCCGGGTGTGCCTGGGACCTACATCTTAAAGTCCCAACTGCTGCCATTATACCAGGACACGCCAGATTCTTGGGGATTTTATATAAATGTGCCGTGAGACAAGTTTAGTGTCTTCTTGCTTGACCATGCTTCCCATGGGAGTCAACATGTCCGTGAGCCGCATTAGTGTAAACTCTCTCTGCTAAAAGGAGAGAGAACACATCTTTTTTTTGTTTTTAACAAGATGCCTGGAACTGTAACTTGCTTCACTAGTGTTTTTCTCCAAGGCTGCTTGCTGCTCGGCCCTCGCACACGTGCCCCTTCTTTACCAGGGACAGAAGCACAGTGCCAGGTGGGGAATAAAAGTCCTCCCAGGCCCCCAAATCCCCACAAAGCCTTGCACCTCTTTCCTGTTCTTAGGGGATGAATAGGCTGGCATCTTACCCATCACAGATTCGCTGTAGCGTCCTCCGGGCCCATGGCGGGGGCAGAGACGGCGGCCGAATGATCGTCCTGTGGGCAACGGAGTGTGCCCGCCTGGCCTCGCGGAGA